GGTCAATTGCCCGTGTCCCTCTTTGCTGCGCCCTCGAGGACGAGTCTCTACAAGTATGTTGAGCTGTCGTGATGCATCATACTACATCAAATCGTGGTACGCTAGCACGCTCGAGAGAGCTCCTAGGCTAGATGATTTCGACCTGTTCGACTTGTTCGTGCCCTGGCCGATGCAGTCTGTTCGAGGGTGTCGAGGTGTTCCAAGATGATCGTCTCCTTGCTTCAGAAATGGGTGCGAAAGCGAAAGAAACCCATACCGTGTCTCGTTGCGACGACGGGCTGCTGTTTCGGATACCGACTGAAAGATGAGTGGCAGGGACCGAACACCGGGGGGTCTCGTCGGTTCACGGGATCCCGATGAACTGAGCACAGCCAGGCGTCAGAGGTGCTTCTTGATCGCCTGCCGCGAGTCGCATGCCGGGTAGGGGGGGGTGGTCGGGGAAGGAAGGAAGCTAGCTGAGGAGCACTGCCAAGTCACGCACAGGGAACACCGACAAGGCCCGCCGCCTGTTCATGGTTTAAAGGAACAGGCGGTGGTGAGGTTGGGAGTTGTGAGGCAAGGCTCTCGAGACCTGCGCCAGCTGCTGTCCCTTCTCCCAGCACCAAAATGCCCAGCACCAAAATAAAAGAGACATGGTGGAATTCACGACACCTGCGCAAGTTGCATGCGCCTGTCTGTGCCTGCGTCTGAGGGTCCATCACGGCGCATCGACCTTCGCCATGGCTGCATCGAACAGTGGGGGGAACGGGGTGTCATCCTGCTGCCACTGTACTTTGTCACCTTGTTCTTCATTCCAGCCCCCATCCCCTGCCTCGCGCATCCTTGTTGCAGACAGCGGGTTTGCACGCGCGCTGTGATGATGATCCCCATCGTGCACACTACGCCATCTTGTGCATGCACCATGCGAGCGCCAGGGGCGCCGAGCACACCGAGGACGGTGACCAAAAATAATAATGTAAGAAGAAGAAGAAGAAGAAGAAGACCCTCTCTCCAGCATTGCCCTGTGGTCCGATGTGCAAAGAAGACTCAGGCCTACCAAGGGTCTGTGGGTACTCGCACGCCTTGGACTTCCTTGAAATCTCAAGTGTTCCTGCTCATTTATTATCTCGAGAGTCACCAGGACCATGAACGTTGTTGTCCCGATCAGGATTAGCCATGTTGCCGCTTTTACGTCGATGGATTTTGGTGTTCTGTTTCGAGCCCCTTTCTCCAACAATTCCTTGGCCACCAGCTAACGCCTTTCCTTGTCTTCGCGGCGAAGCGCATTGCTGTGCATCGGGAAATCCTGCTGCATCGTCTGGCTGATGCCAAACAGAACATGTCGAGGCGATCTTTCCTTGGATCGACACACGACATGGTTCGAATGATGCGGGGTCCTATTCCATCTGTCTAGCACCTATAGGCAGCACCAATAGGCTACACCCATAGGCTAGAAGCACACAGCTGAAAAAACAAAGGCCGTTTTGGCTGCTTTCAGCCTTGGACAGGTTACTTGCCCGCCCTTCTTCCTCAACAACGGGCGTCGGAAACAAAGACACACAACGGAAGACCACGTCGTATGGTTCTTTATCTTGATGCGAGGTGGGCTAGACTGGATTGCGGAGTCCACTACCAACACGAGGTCGGCCGGTTAGCCCAGATGAAAGGAGCCCCTACTTGAGACGCAAGAGCTCAGGTCGTCCGTCAACTTAGCACGCCAAGCATCCGGCCTTCCTTGTCACACTGAAAAGATTGCTCTGTTGTACTGGCAGACGCTTTTGCAGAGGCCAGCGGAGTGGCTCCCCGAGTCAGGTTACGAGAAGACAGGTCCGGGTCCCCATGGAGCCAATCTGTCCCACGACCTCCCTCTTCGAGATGAATTCCGACGATCTTATGCCCTCTTCATCAGCCAGTCTTGCTCATGGAAGTTGAGACCGACCAATGTGAAGTCTGTTCGGCAGATACCCCGTGCGCCGGAGAAATTTATGCTTGGAGCGCCAATGCCGTGTCGCAACGAGTATATTGCCTGGCTCGTTAGTCTCCGACACTCAAAACGGCATAATTTGTATACCCCGGATTCTCGTACCTCACAGACGAGCCGGTATTGAGAATGGTATGTCACGACGAAATGCCTATAACTATGGCAGGCTCGCCCGTGTGTTCTGATTCGGGCTGTACGCTTCTCCGTTGAACGCCAACAGTTGCTCTTTTCCCACTGCAAGTCTTCTCTCTTTTTTGCATTCATCAACATGGCTGGATCCAAGTACTTGATCACCGCAGTCCTTCTGCAGATCATCACGGGCAGCCGGGCTGCTCCTCAGGCTACTCCTGTTGCTGGCGCTGCCGCGCCTCCGGCTACCTTCACAGCCAACCCAGATGTCGGCCCCGGCGGCAGCACTTTCAAGGACTCGGCTCACTTCCGTGTCTATGGAAACGCCAACGCCGCGGACGAAGCCCTTGCCATGCTCGAAGGGGCCTTCAGTTGCTTTGTTGAGACTCTCAACTTCAGATCCACCGGTCTATCGTATAACCCTGGATCCGACGACGGCCCCTACTACAAGACCAACATTTACTCCGTGCCCGCTCTCGGCGGAGGCGCTGCCGGTGTCATGCATTCAGATCCTGAGCGTGGTCTGGGTTATGTCGAGGTCCTGCACAATTTCCTGACCAATCCTGGCGTCACGATCCACGAATACGGCCACGCCCTGCACTATCACCAGCGCACTTGGGTGCACCAGAGCCGCACCGGCGCCTGGTGGGAGACCTTTGCCAACTGGTTCGCCGACACGTACAAGACGTCCGAACTCTGCGCCGATGCTCGCACCCAGAATGGCCAGTCCGCTTCGCAGACCGAGATCAACCTCCAGAAGACCATCGGCGACTCCTTCCAAGTTCTTGTCGACGGCACCGCCGGCTCCGGCAATTACTACGAGGCCTGGCCCTTCTTCACCTACCTCACGAACAACCCTGACGAGTTTGCCGGCCTCGGCTCCGACACGCTGAACCAGCTCATGCTGCAGTACGAAGAGAACAGTGACGAGACGCCCCTCCACACCCTCGGCCGCGTGTCCACGAACACCCCAGTGAGCGCCATCGTCGGCCGCTACTGGGCTCGCATGGCCTACGTTGACATTGGCCACCCGTCCGCCCAGGAGGTCTTCCTTGCCCAGCGCCGCAGCCTGAACTACGCCAACGTCGACGCGAGCGGCACCAACAGGTACACTGTCAAGGCCGCGCGCGCTCCCAAGTACATGGGTGCCAATATCATCCCTCTGACCACGTCCGGCGCCGGTACCGTCTCCGTAAACATCTCCGCCACCGGCGCTTACACTGCCACGCTCGTCGTCTACAGCGGCTCGGCTGGCACGCGCTACGTCGTCGTTGACGGTACCGGCTCTGTGGCCGTGAAGGCCGGTGAGGAAGTCAGCCTCGTGATCGCGAACACGCCCGAAGCCTTGGTTCTGTTTGACCCTTTCAAGCTGAGCAGCGAGGTGTCGCAGGGGTTGAGCTACTCCTTCACCGTCACTGGTGCCACAGCTTAGGGGGAGCGTCTATCCTTCTTGTACATAAATTTACTTACACGGACGACAATCGTCTTGTACAAATCGCAGCGAAGCATACTCCTTGCTCGACGTTGAAAATCAGTTTCCAAATCCTCCATCACAATTTGACAAAGCTGTGTGATTTGAGTTTGCGCCATCAGCCTTACAAGGGTGAAGTACTATCTACCTCGGGTCGTGTGCAAGCACTGGCGTATCCTGGCACTGGTGCTACCCGTACATGCTCTTTAAAGCGGCGACGCCAACCCCAGCCCTTCTCCCCTTCCCAAATCAAAATCAAGGGGCTAATCCACCCCTCGTCAAACACGGCCAGTGTCGCAGCCTGGTTGGAACACGAGGCCTTCTCTCGCGAGCACCTCATCATGATTGACAAATAGTCCGTATGAGTACATCGCGTCTGGGAGCCTCATTGCGCTTAGGTAGTCAGAGACGGTCATGTCAACGAGGCTTGTTCTTGGTAGGGACTATGCGCATGCCCCGAGATGCACCAGATTCGTGGTTGAGGAACCAGGGTATCGATCTCCTCCACATTGGAACATCTGGTGTAAGTGGGATCGACTATGATGACCAATGCTCCACTGCCCGAACATTCCCTCGCACCGAGTGCCTTGCCTGTGTCTACTGTGATTACCCCAAGCTGCGCTCATCACACCCCAACGAGATGGTAAGTTCATCAAGCCGAGCACAAATGAGAACCTTGACCTCATCATGAGCAGGTGGCTGCTATTTTAGCTTGGCCTGATGATGTCGGGCCAGTGCCGCATTCGCGCGTGGGAATTTGGTGTACTTTCCGAGACTTTGTACACGATCAAGCTGTGTGGCTGGCGACTGGCAACCTCGATTTCTCATACTGGTGAGTTGGAGAATATTCCCAACGGATTCGACAAATGCCACAGCCTCCAAAAAATATCCTCCGCCCCATCACGCTTGACCTTGCCGAGAAGCTTCAGGGCGGTCACTATTGGATGAGTTCCTTTTCTACCCGAGGGCCGGTATATGAACGACTCAGAGGCAGTATCTGTGAAGGGTTTGGTTTAAATCGGTTGCAAGGATGTAACTTTTGACCGAGGTAGTAAAGGTGATTGAACAAATATGAGGGCCTTTCCATACACTGAGCCAAACGACACCATAGTAGAGGCTGGGAAGAGGCTCAGTGTACTCAGGACATAGCTCATCCATTCTAATACCCAAGCCTGCAATGCGTTTCAGGGGTACCACTACAGCCAACCCGCTTTGTTGCCCCGTATCTTCTCCAGGCATGTGCAGTGGCACAATATCTGCAGATCACTTGCAAAGAACCTCAAGTGTTTATTTTGATTCTTTTAGTTTGAATAAGAAGGCCACGTCACTACGTCATTTCGCTCTTTACACCCTACGAGGATCACGATCTTCACTATACCTACCTGCCCTGTTATCTGGAAAGTCCCAAATACACCCACTGTCTCGTCGGCATCATGGTGCCTAAGCACCCGAAACCTTGAATGTCCTGCCGCTTGCCGTCTTCCTCTCCTTCTCCTCGGCGTCCGGACGAGCTCTCCGGAGAACTGGCGATCCTCGTTAGCGGCGAAGCCCTGATTGCACACATACATAGATCTCATACCTTGCAGGAAGTCCGCAGTCCTCTTGCGCATACGGGAGTGAATGTAAGCCTTCGATGCCTTGATGTGATAGTGGAAATAGTCTCGGAACGTCTGAATGTGAGAGATAACCTCGGGCATCCGTTGCTGAGTAAGATGGCGAGGGAAGAGAACTGGGATCGATCAGCAAAGTAGCGAGTACCGTGTCGGCGAATACACTGACCAAATGTGACGTATCCGATCTCGCCGGACCCGGAATCCTTCACGCCGGGCACACCCTGCAGTTCCAGGGGAGGATCGTTCCTAAACAGGACCTGCGGCGCATTTTGAATAGCCCGACGACGAGCATCGACGAACTCCTGAATGAACACCTTGCCGAACACACGGTCCGTCTCCTCGCGGAAGATGGTGCTAAATATAACGGTAACTCGGTCGTGACTGGCCTTGATGTAGATGGCCTCCTCTTCGCGGTAATGAATCGCCTTGATAGCACCGCCCTCCTTGACGCCCTGAGGCGCATCCTCAGAGGTGTATTTCGACGCCTCTTCCTTCAGCTTATAATGCTCATCGTACGCGGCCTCGAATGGCGCGGCCATGGCGTTGCGCTTCAGCATGGCGAACTTGTGAACGAGAGCATCGCGCTCCTCTACCGGCTCGTCAGCTCGTGCGTGCTATAATGGGGCCTGACAGTGACGAACCTTGTTCAGCGGGAAGCTTTTCGAGGTCAATGAGGACGGAGAAGTCGTAGCCCGCCTCCGGCGCAACGACAAACTGCTCATATTCCCTCTGCAGCACCTGCTCGGCACCGTACTGCACAAGGTCCTTGAAGCACCGGATGTGGACGGAAAGGAGGATCTGAGTCTTCGTCTCGGGAGTCGAGATGTGGTAGATGACACCGTCGAAGTCGGACACCGTCTGGTCGATGTGGGCGGGAGGGGCACTGCGTCTTCGAGTCAGCCGGAAGGATGGCGACTCGTCCGTAGGGAGGAATTGCTCACCCAGAGAACCTCTCAGTCAGCACGGACTGAATGAGGACATTCTGGTAATCGAGGAGAAGCATCTTGCCGGTGCTGCGTGGCCACCTACTCGTTCGTTGGTGGTGATGCGGTTGCGAATGACGATGCCTTGGACCGATGGTGGGGCTCTGGCTGTTGGAGCTTCGTGGCTGTGGCTGGCGGATACATTGGTACATCCCCACGTGATGTCGTCAGGCTTATCGGAGCTTTGAAGATCGATCTCTTATCGATAAGAAAAAGTTTCCCGCTTCTGGCGGCGGGAGAATTTGAGGATCAGGTTCAGAGACAGCGCCCTTCACCATAGTGCGATTGACATTGTCCAGTGCGCAGGAGAGTCGGCAAGATGGTCAAGTCATACTTGTGAGTGGCTCAGACTGACTTTGTCTTGACGGTCCACTGACTCAACCATTTTCACAGGAAATACGAACACACCAAGTCGTTCGGTGTTGTCGCATCGAGTGCCTCGAACCTCGTATGGACGTCCAAAGATCGCAATGGCACAGGCGCCGGACAGGTCGTCGTTGCCGCCAATGAAGAAGTCTTGAGCTGGGACATCAAGAAGGGAGAGTTGCTGAGTCGGTGGAGGGACGACAAATGCACGCTGCCCGTCACTGCTATTGCGCAAAGCAAAGCCGATAAGGATGTGTACGCCGTGGGCTACGAAGACGGCAGTATTCGGCTCTGGGACAGCAAGATTGCGACGGTCATTGTCAACTTCCAGGGCCATTCTTCTGCCATAACACATCTAGCCTTCGATAAGGCTGGTGTCAGACTGGCCAGTGGAAGCAAAGACACAGATGTCATCATTTGGGATCTTGTCGCTGAAGTCGGCCAGTACAAGTTGAGAGGTCACAAGGATCAAGTCACCGGTCTTCGATTTGTTGAACCTGAGGCGCAACCCGATGACGAGGAGGATGTGCAAGCTATGGCCCTTGACAGCGACAACGCCGAGGGCTATCTTTTGACGACCGGCAAGGACTCCTTGATTAAGCTTTGGGACCTGTCATCGCGGCACTGTATCGAAACGCACATTGCCCAGTCCAACGGCGAGTGCTGGGCGCTAGGCTTGTCACCAGACTACAACGGATGTGTGACTGCTGGAAACGACGGCGAACTGAAGGTCTGGTTCATCGACACTGCCGGCCTGGCCTCGATGAAGGGTCGTGTAGACGCCCCGCAGTCAGCAAACTTTGTGCAGGACCGCGGAACATTGTTCCGCCAGAGCAAGGACAGGGCTACCGAAGTCGTTTTCCACCCAAAGCGCGACTACTTTGCGGTTCACGGCTCCGAGAAGTCGACTGAAGTCTGGCGCATCCGATCAGAGGCCGAGGTAAAGAAGTCTTTGGCACGCAAGAAGAAGAGGAGAAGAGAGAAGGCCAAAGATGGAAAGACGGAGGATGAAGAGATGGGCGATGCAGCCGATGCCGCCGACGATCTATCTGGTGCCGAGGCCAGCGATTACTTTGTCCAGTACGTGATCGTACGAACTGGCGGCAAGGTCCGCTCGGTTGACTGGGCTGTCGGCAGCGGCAGCAAGTCCATTCAACTCGTAGTCGGCACCACCAACAACCAGCTGGAGTACTACAGCATTCCCACCAAAGATTCTGGCAAGGCGAAGAAGGAGGACACTCCGGACTACACACGGTCTCTTTCCGTTGATCTTCCAGGACACAGGACAGATGTGCGCTCTGTGTCGCTGAGTTCTGACGACAAGATGCTGGCTTCGGCGTCGAACGGTAGCCTCAAGATTTGGAATATCAAGACACAGACATGCATTCGCACCTTCGAGTGCGGCTATGCGTTGTGCTGTTCTTTCCTTCCAGGAGACAAGGTTGTAGTGGTTGGCACCAAGGGAGGCGAGTTGGAGCTTTTCGATGTCGCCTCGGCCAGCCTTCTGGACAGCGTCACGGCCCACGAGGGTGCCATCTGGTCTCTCCAGGTTCATCCTGACGGCAAGTCCATGGTGTCTGGCAGCGCAGACAAAACGGCGAAGTTCTGGAACTTCCAGATTGTTCAGGAGGAGATCTTGGGTACCACCCGCACAACACCCAAGCTGAAACTTGCCCAGTCGAGGATACTGAAAGTTGCGGACGATATTCTCAGCCTCAAGTTTTCTCCCGACGCGAAGCTTCTGGCGGTTTCACTCCTTGACAGCACGGTGAAGGTCTTCTTTGTCGACAGTCTCAAGCTTTACCTCAACCTTTACGGTCACAAGCTCCCCGTGCTCAGTATGGATATCTCATACGACAGCAAGCTCATCATTACTAGTTCTGCCGACAAGAACATCAGGATATGGGGCCTCGACTTTGGCGATTGCCACAAGGCACTTTTTGGTCACCAAGACAGTATCCTGCAAGTTGCCTTTGTCCCTCATAATTCAGATGGCAACGGTCACCACTTCTTCAGCGCCAGCAAGGACCGGTGCATCAAGTACTGGGATGGCGACAAGTTTGAGCAGATCCAGAGGCTCGACGGCCACCACGGCGAGGTTTGGGCAATGGCCGTCAGCCACAGCGGCAGGACCCTCGTCAGCGCAGGACACGACAAGAGCATCCGCGTGTGGGATGAGACGGACGAGCAGATCTTCCTCGAGGAAGAGCGCGAGAAGGAGCTGGAGGAGCTTTACGAGAGCACCCTCACGGGTTCGCTTGAGCGGGATCCCGACGCGGAGGATGCCAACGGCGAGGTGGGCGCGGCGACCAAGCAGACGGTCGAGACGCTCATGGCGGGTGAGCGCATCGCCGAAGCCCTTGAGCTGGGCATGGCGGATCTCAACCTGCTCAAGGAGTATGAGCAGGCGAAGTTGACGAACCCGCATGCGCAGCCACCACAGCGCAATGTCATCTTCGTTGCTCTCGGCAACATCAGTGCCGAGACGCATGTCATGTCTGTGCTGCAGCGCATCAAGGCATCCGCACTCCATGACGCGCTTCTTGTGCTGCCCTTCTCCACTGTCCCCATGCTCTTTACCTTCCTCGACCTGTTCGCGCAGCGATCAATGAACATGCCATTGACCTGCCGCATTCTGTTCTTCATGCTCAAGACGCACCACAGACAGATCGTGTCGAGCCGTACAATGAGGACTATGCTGGATGGCATACGGGCGAACCTGAGGGCGGCACTTAGGAAGCAGAAGAACGAGATGGGCTACAACATTGCCGCACTGAAGGTTGTCGGCATGCAATTGCAGGCGAAGAGTGTGAAGGACTATGTTGACGAGACGTGGGATGAGGAGAACGACAGCAAGGTTGTTCGGAAAAGGGCGTTTGTACAGGTGTCATAAGGATATCCATTGCATGTAAATCAAATCCGGCTTAGAGAATCAAGAAGAGCATCTCCAAATCCTGTCGTGATAGAACCACAGAAAAGGGTATACAGTCTATGCCATGTCACGCAAGGAGATGGCTGTGACAGTCTATTGCGTTCCTCCCCATTACCCATTTCATGCACACCGAATAATACCGAGACCACATACCATGCAGCGCGCGCTCACGTGATTTTCTCGTCGAGGTACGTACCCCACAACACCAACGAGCGGGTCACCTCAATACAGCCCCAGCATCACGACACTCAAAGCTCATCCAAGCTCATCGTCACCGTATTCCAGCTCACCACAAAAACGCCAGGACAAGATGCTGTTCTTCAGGTAGGAATTCAGACTCATGCGACTGATCAGAGCATGTGAAATCGGCAAGAAATAGTCACTGACGCGACGCCTTAGCTTCTTCAAAACCCTCATTGACCATGAGGTCACCATCGAGCTCAAGAACGACATTCAGATCCGCGGCACGCTCAAGAGCGTCGACCAGTACCTGAACATCAAGCTCGAGGACATTTCCGTCGTTGAGGAGCTGAAGTACCCGCACCTGGTTCGTTGCCTAGAATCCCTCTCACCCGCTGCGTCTACCTTCCTTCGCTGCGGCGAGAGGAGCACAGGCCAAGGCGTAGCATGTGTATCATGCAAGACTGTCCACTTGCTAACCGGACACCACAGAGTTCTGTCAAGAATGTCTTCATTCGTGGCTCGGTTGTGCGCTACGTTCATCTTCCTGCTGCGTCTGTAGATGTTCCGCTGCTGGAGGATGCGACGCGGAGGGGTAGGTTTAGTTTCTGCCGGCTTATGGTGTCGTGGATCGCTGACGTCCTTCTAGAAGCAGCTGCTCAACAGGCCAAGGCGAAATAGAGGAACAGCACAGGGACCAACTTCCAAAACTACGATTGCCGGGGTGAAGGGACTGAGGCTGCAGCGGAGAAATAGCACTGCGCACGCACTTGCCGCCGTCTGTTCTGGCGTCAGACACAGGGAATCTGCGGCCTCTATGATCAGGTGCCATATGAGACTGGGTCGGTTAAAATGCCAACGCTTTATGGACTGGCCCTGATAGTGGAGGAATTATCAGGAGTGATAAGCACTATTCAGCCCAGAGCTTTCACTTCCATCCGATTTCAAGGATGCGAGACGACCACATGTACACCAAGTACAGAACCAGTCTCATTCATAGTTCACAAGCATATTTTGCACACAAAAATTTGTGCTATCCCAAAAAAAAGTCAATTGCATCCCCAGACGCCGTCGCGGGATGCTGTCCTTTCCTCCTCAGTTTCTACCTACACAGGAGAGTATTACAATGAATGCATGGCTTCCATGCGCCAAACCACAAGTTTCCTGCCACCCCATCCCGCAAAGAAAACCCATATTGTTCCCTAGTACAACCCTTAATTTCGCTTCGCTCAAAGCATGATAGCCAACTCTGGCCTGTCCATCTTATCTTCGTCCAGGTTGGGATAGTATGGTACCATGGCATCCGCGCCCTGGACGTACGCATCATTGTACAGCCGCCAATAGGGCTGGCGTACCTTGCGCGCCGGGTGGAAGAGACCCGCCCAGACATAGTTCATCACGACACCAGGTCCGACAGCCATGCGGACAGCCTCGATAGCCTCGACGATGCGATCGATGACGTGTGGACTCGTCTCGAACAAGTTCGGATAGAGAAGGTTGAGAAGATGGATCATAGCGTCCTCACAACCGAGGCCAACCACGCCGAGAGCAATGTGCTTGACAACAGACGCAGCTGTTTGTCGGTGGACCTGGTCGCGATCGATGAGCGCGTCTTCGAGCAGTGGTGTAACAGCGTAAACGTAGTCCTTGGCCATCTCGCCAATGTACTCGAAAAGGAAGGAGAGTGACTTGAGTACACCGTTTTGAACATTGAGTTCGGGAACACGGTACTCGTTCATGAGAGCGGGCAGGACGGTGAAAGGCGCGCAGGTTTCGGCCACGATACCAATAGCAACAGCCGTGTTGACACGAGACTGGCGCTCTTGCACCCTCAGGTTGTTGAGCAGAGTAGCCAAAACATCCTGGGGACCGATGGCCTTGGCGATGAAACCGAAAGTGTTGTTGGCCGCACGACGAATACCCTTTTTGTGGGCTTTCAGCATATCAAGGAGCTCGAAACAAATTCGCATCCATTCTCGTGCATTGACGCTTTCGGGGCCACGATCAGCGATACGGCCAACGAGATCGATGGTATTCTCTTGGACCTTCTCGTGTCGATTGCGAAGAATAGGGGTGAGACGGGGGAGTAGGTCTTTGATGGGCGGTTGCATCTGTGTGATACCAACCACGGTAACGATGGATCGAAGGGCGCCTAGGATGGAACCAAGAACCTCCGGGTACTCCTCGCCTAGGTACTCGTAGAGCACGACGCCAAGTTTGCCCATGAGTGCGTCTTCACCGCATTGCTTCATGACCATGGCAATTCGCGAGATAAGATCAGCTGCCTGCTGTCGTACAGTGGCCGACTTGTTGTTCAGTCTCCAAAGAATGGTGCTGACGATTTGTGGGAGGTAGGGTTTGCACCGCGAGCCCAGCGCATTGACGACAGAACCAAAGCCATTGAGCATGATAATGTCCTCAACGCTCTGCTCCTGGAATGCGTGCAGAATGCCGTCGATGAGTCGCTCTTCGAGTCTCTCACCAATATCGGCAGCGCCCAGGCTCGCGACGATCTTCTCAATTGTCTCCACCGTCATCTTGCGGTATGCTTCGCTCTCATCCTTCAGGTTGACAACGATTCTCTCAATGATCTCGCTGACACCGACCTTTTGGCCAATGTCGACCGTAGTCTCGACAACTTGTCTGTAGTTGCGCTTGTCAAGCGCCATTCTTCTGACCCAGAAGCTCTTGAAAAAGTCGTCGAGGACGTGTTCTTTGAGATAGCCCGCGGTGACACCATCGGTACCTGCACACTGCGACACCACCTTGAGCACCACCTTCTTCATCTCTTCGTCTGGGGAGGAGAACTCTCGAAGGAGAATCTCCATGATCTGGCTCGTGTAGTAGTTGGCGTATTCCTCGTCCATGAGGGGAATGATAAAGCCAACAGCCTTCAGGAAGCCAGCAAGACCCTTGCCTCGTTGCTTTCGCGCGCCTGTCCAGAGGGGGTTGAGGATGTCATCGAAACTTTCGATACCGTAGGGGTTCGATGCCTCGGCAAGGGCGGCGATGGCCAGACTGGTGACGGTGCGGACCTTGGTCTGCTCATCATTCAGGTTGGGGGCGATACAGTCCACGAGGCCTTTCAGATGGGGAAGCACGGCGCAACCCATGAGAATGGGAATCTGCTGCACAATCTTGACACCCGTGTGTCGCGCCTGCCATTGCTTCTTGCTTCGGCAGACGGCTCTCAGGAAAGGAAGAAGAGCTGGAATGCCGAGCGCCGAGGCCACGACGGCGAACGCTCGGGCGGTGGTGTTTCTGACGTACTCATCGGTATGATCGATGTCGTGCCTCATGGTACTGATCATGGTGGCGAGACCAGCGGCTTTACTGAGGTTGGAGATGATCTCACGACCCTCCACTCTGGCATAGTAGTCTTGGTCGATAAGCAGCGGCTCAATGACAACGAGAATCTTGTGCACGTAGGGCCGAACAAGGTCATCGAGCTTGTACAATATACGATCGATGACCTTGACGAGCAGATGGCGTTCCTGGTCTTCCAGAGTCTTCTCCATGAGGAGAGGCAGAATCTGGTCGAAGAGTGGACCAGCTCCAAACTGCCTAGCATTGTCTGTGAGCTGTCGCAAAGCAGTCTTGCGCATTGGTGGTGTACCATTCTTGACTTTGAGGAGCAGCCTCATGATCTTCCTCTCCTTCATCTGCTCTACACTGAGATCGTTCTCGTCGGTGCCGTCGGTAAGCTTGCCGAAATAGGCCATATCTTCGGCCTTGAAGAACTGGAGGTCGCCGATGCCGGGAATTTCTCCCGGTACAGGCTTGCCGCTAAGCCTGACCGCATCAGGGTCCTGCATGGTGAAACCGCTCTGCGGAGCAGGCGTCGCCACAAGCCTGTGGGTTGGGGCGCGAAGCGGAGCGTAGCCGGGAGGGGGCTCGAGGATCTTGTAGCCCTGCTCCTCTCCGGGAAGCAGCTCGTTGAGCTCCTCGTCGCTGAGCGGCATGTTACGGCCAGACATGTCGGGGCCAAAGGTGGTCGGCAAGATAGCACCGCCGGCCTGCGAAGGGTGCATGGGCGTAGCTAGTCCTTGGTTGCCCATCGGGGTGGCAGAAGGAGCCTGGTCCCAGCGAGACGACTTCTTGACAACCTCAGCGCCAGGGGCGGGCGTCTGGTCCCACCGGGATCGCTTCTTAACGACACCATCAGGCTGGGCGGCAGCCGCGTCGTCCGTAGGAGTGGACGAAACATCCCATCTCTTCTTTCTCTTACGCCCGGCAGCAGCGAGCTCAGTCGATCCAGAGTCTCCATTCTCCTTGTCGTCGCCGTTGGTCAGGGTTGCCGGAGCCGTGTTGCCATCCTCGACCCTGCCCTCGGCCTTGTCCAGGATGGCGCGGCGTACGCGCTCCTCCTCGCGCTCGAGCTCCTTTGCCTCCATGACATCGCGGTAGGTCGAGCCACCATCGGCAGCGCCAGCTTGACGGTTTGCGGCAAAAGGGTCCGCGCGGGTGGGGGTGAGGACGCGGTCGAAGCGGCGCTTCTGATAGTCGGTCTCGCGATCGGTGATCCGGTTGCTCTTCTCGCCGCGGCCAGCAAGAACGTCATCCTCCTCGACGCCATCGCCGCGAGAAAACTCGTCGAGCATATCGCGAGACGCAGTATACTGGCCGACGAGGCGGCGCGTATTGTCGACGCCGTTCATGTCGTCGTCGTCATCATCGCCGTTGATGCCGGTAGGAATAGAGGTGGCGTAGCCAGCAAACTTATCAGCGCCGTTGGCATCATAGAGATCGGTGTCAACGGTGTCAGTAAGCTTCTGCTTGGTGCTGACCGTGTCGGGGCGCTGGTTCGAAGGGTCGAAGGCGTTGGAGCCTTTTTTGGCGGCAGCGGCAGCGTTGCGCTCGGCCTGGAGCTGGCGGATCGTCTCGAAGTCCGAGTCAGACATCTTGCTCAAGGGTTTGCTTGTGTCATATCTTGAGGGGTTGGAGGATATCGAACGATGCTGCAGGAGTGCATCAGTGAAGGCTTGATCGGAAGCAGAGTTGATGGATTGAGATGATGACGGGTTGTCGAGCGTATCGAAGGGGGGGCGGGCTGAAGGGCGACGTTGGGATTAGGGACGACCAAGCGCATCAGGTTTGATGGGTCGCGCAGAGCTTTACCAAACGCATCTCGCGACTCAGCCGATATTTAGCCGACACGCCTCAATCTCTCTCAAACCCAGCTTGGTGGCGCTATGCCCATCTGCACCATGTGAAACCTTGCGTCGCCAGGTCCTTTTTATCGAAGCATGCTGAATTTCATGTCAAGCATGGTTCTGGACGAGAAATCGGGTATCAATCGCTTTCTACAAATATATCCTCAATAGGGATCACAGTGCCTTCTGAGACCGAGTCCTCCTCCGTTTGGGTTGTGCATCTGCCGCTTTCTCAACCTCAATCTTGACCTTCGTCTGGACAGTCTTGCGCTTCTTTCCCATCAAAGGCGGGGACGCCTCATCTTCCACGACTTCCTGCTTAATCTTTACAATCGCATCCTTGCCAGCCTCTCCCTTCACAGCCAACACTTCCTCCTCTTCTTTCTTGGCCACCCTCCCTTCAAACGTCTTGAGATCGGCCGTGAACAAGACGGAATGCGCCCACCCCGCATACTCCCCCCACAGCTGCCGAAAGTGATCTCCCACCGCATCGTACATGGCCTTGCTGAACGTCTTCGTCCTGCTCTTGCCAAACTTGTAGTCCCTCTGCGCAATCTGCCACACGTGCGTGTCCACGGGCACAGCCTCCCCCCACCCAAGGCCCATGAGACACACGCAGTCTGCCACCTTGGGACCCACGCCAGCGAGGGCGAGCAGCGCCTCGTGTGCCTCCTTGTACGTCGGTGGTGACAGGATCTTCTCGTCCTCGGCCTCGGATGCGGCGCGGAAATTTGGGTTCGCTGGGTTCGCCAGGCTTGCCAGCCACCCCTTGGGCTTCTCCGAGGAAACGACACGTGCCGTCTCGGCGATGTACTTGGCGCGATAGCCGAATCCGAGCTCGCGGAGGTGCGACTCGACCTGCTTGCCCGTCAGGGCATCCGGCGTGGGGAAATCGTGGAAAGGCTCTTCGTTGATGTGCCCGATGAGCGGGCCATAATGCAGACAGAGTTTGTGTACCTGGCTGTGCGTGAGCATGGTGGCGGTCGATGGCTGCCGGGGCTGCAAAGGAGGG